GAAAAGGAAGAGATGTATGAGGAAATCCGGCGGAGGGAGATGGAGTTCTTATTTGATGAACCTGAGATAGTGAACGTCATGCTAGTGAGGGAGTTCTATGCAAACTGCCCAGCTCACATGTTGCGGGAGGTGATTGCGCGAGGCAGGGTGGTAGATGCCTCAGTTGAAAAGATTCGCCAGGTTTTGAGGCTGCCCAGGTTCACTGTGACATCGACTATTACCAGGAACCACAAGGAGTCACTTGGGAGAATATGACTGAAATACTATGCGCAGGGGGGGGTCAACCACGCTGGATACAGGACAATATCACTCTGAACTCCAAGTCATTCACACATTTGGCTAAATATTGGTTCACTGTCATTTGCAGCCAGTTCTTGCCCACAGGTAACACGACTGACGTGAACTATCAAAGAGCTCTATTGACGTGGTGCTTCGTCACTAAGAAAAACTTTGATGCGGCGCGAATAATTGGTGATGAAATGATCCTGCGGTCTCCGCTGCTGTCAAAGGGATTCTACTTCCCTTCATCGGTGACGAGGCTGTGCTTGCTGAAAAATGTTCCCACCAATCCTACTTATGGAGCCTTGCCCGCTAAAGCACCATTCAAAGCGTCAGGCATCAGAGTAGGCCGAGATGCACCTGCCACCATTCAGATCGATGATGAGGATGAAGCCCCAACACTATGCAGGAGATCCTATGACAGAGCCGGACTCTCTCGACAACACCATACTGGGGCAGGCTTCTCTAGATCCCAGTCCACCCGACCTATGTTGCGTTCCATGGAGGAAGAGATCGTAGATCTTCGCACCTCGGTGGATGGCCTACACACGCGTATGGATGCCATGTCTCAGCGGCATGCCAGGTCTGAGAGCCGGATTATGGCGTGGTTCCGTGCTTTGGGGAGAGCTTGTCATGTTGACCCCAGCACCGTCTCAGACTCCGATTGATGCTCAGGGAAGTCTTCTTACCCTTCTGCTCTTTATTTTTGATATGACATGGGGACATGCCATAATTTTAAGTGTGGGGTGGGAGACTTGCTCTGGTAGTATATTGTAGTGTATATAGACATTGAGTATGTTGTAATATTAGATTGATGTTGTTGTGTATAATTGACTGTACTCACATTAGAAGTAACTGACTTGGCCCAACGACGGACACTTGTCGACGGGTCTCTTGAGGGTCAAAGTCAGATATATAAAATAAAAAAAATTGTAGAGGACTCTTCCTGAGGACGGACCACTTGGACAGTACTCTTGAGGGAAGTAGTCCAGGTAGATTTTTCTTTATTTTATTTTATTTTTTTAGGTAGTGTAGTAATTCTCCCTTGGTTTTTCTTTTGACCACGGCTCTTTTCCAGGGGCTTTTCTTGAACCAGGTTAGGTAGATTTTTCTTTTGTAGTTTTAGGACCAAGATGGGTGAAGGCTAGAATGCAACCCTAGATGTACACACCTGAGAATAACAAAAAACGAACTGAGGGTGCGACATCTAGGCTCGTTTGTAGACTTATACTTTGATGCCTTAATTTTGCACATCTTGTCTTGCTTGAACGCTCGTATGAGTGTGTTGATAAACTGATTCGGAATGAGTTACATGCCAAGTGTGTGTGAGCTATTACTTGCATTCTGTGCTTGCATTCGATACCTAGAACTTGCCCTGTGTGTTTGCAAAGCGAAATAGAAGCTGTTTGGTTTTAGAGATGATTGAGGCATTTCTTTGTATAGCCTGTATAATTGTGAATCCACCTGTACATATTGCCATAGTTAACCCCTTTGAGCCTGAAGCATGTTCTTTGATAACCCTATAATAACCTACATCCCTGTGTTTGAGTAGTTTGACTGCTTGAACCTGTACCTCCTAGAAGCACTTGAATTATTAAAGAACATACAAAAGTAGAAGTGTGGGGTAGTAGGGGAGTGGAAAAAGGGGAATCAGGAAAGAAATACTTGAATGGTGCAATGGCTGTTAAAAAAAAAGAGAAAAAAAAGAGAAAAGAAAAGAGAAAAAGGCCAGTGCACCTAAAGAAAAGTGGGGGGCAACTATGAAACAAAATGTGGGAGAATGATTGGGCTGAACATGGAAATTGAAACAAAAGGAAGTTTGTATTAAAAGTGCTTAGGGAGGTTAGTCACTATATCCAAATATATCCTACCCGTCCCTTAACCTACATTACAACCAAATAAAGACTTTTTGATCTTTGACTGAACAGCTCGATTAGTAGAGTATTACACTAGGGGCAAGCCTATGGTGTATCTGTGTGGCATGTGAATGTTCTTTGCTGAGAGTGAGTGAATTTTGTCTATCTATGGTTCCTTGTTGCTTAATTTTATGTGTGTGGAACTTCTCTCAGATTTGTGATGTGAGGGCATGTGACTCAGGAAGAAAAAGTGAGTTTTCACCTCTGTTAGAGTAACTAGAGTAAGCACGAGTGTGTCATGGCTCATGTAAACGGCCGGGGCCGGCCGGCCCGTAGAGTCTGCATCCGAGTGTGACTGTTGCACTGCTTAGGTTATTCTTTCATAATGGCGGGTGTGACATAAACTTGGGGCAATGCATCTAATGGTTAGGCCTAGAAGTGTAGTTTAACTTGCTCGAGGACGAGCAAAGGTTTAAGTGTGGGTTGTTGATAATAGGTGAATTTAACTATAATTAGGCCCTAAAGAACCACCTTCTTGTATAGTTTTGATGATAAAAGTGATAACAAAATGCTCTGATTAGTGCTTTTCATGCTTTGCAGGTGATATATGACAAGAGAAGGCTATGGAGTACTTTTGGGATCAAATATGGAGAAAAAGAGGCCAATCGTAAAATTCTGCCAAGTGAACCAAGCGAAGCAGCTGAAGCCAGGCCTGAAGAAGGACTGCCGCGGTTCCACCGCGACCGCGGCAGAACCGCGGTAGAAGACTGTCGTGGACAAGTTGAGATTCAGAGAAGGTGTGTGGCCGCGGTTTGACCGCGATCGCGGCAGAACCGCGGCAGAGGCGGAAAAGTTCAGGGACTTAAGTTCAAAACACGGAATTTTTAGCCCAAAACCCTATTTTAAATACTAGACTTCGCCCAAAGGAGGCAGGGATTGTATTGGAGAATATTTTAGCAAGCAAAACAATTGTGAGAGATCACCTAAAACATCATATCTTCTTCTTCTTTAATTTTTCTTGCAATTATGATTATGAATATTGTTCTAGTTTATTTACCCATAGTCATGAGCAGCTAAATCTTTTGTCTAGGGTTTTGATAGAACCTATTGAGGGATGAACTTCTTGTTTATGTGAATACAGTTTGCCAGTTTAATTTCTATTTGTTCAACTACGTGTTTGTTGTAGTTAATTGACAGGATCCTCAATTAGCTGTGCCTATTTAGTGTGCATAACTCGGGAGAGAGTGCATATTTAGGTGAATGTTGAACAACACCTCTCCCAAAGTATAAGAGGGATCTATAACTGCGGGTTTAAAGGCGGGATTAGGAATAACAAAGCCTTGGGTGCAATCTTAAGTGAACTGTGATAAATAAAGCTAGCTAGTGTATCTCGGGAGAGTGCATTTAGTAAATTACTGTGATTACTCGGGAGAGATTTATGGTAAGAAGAGCGTTTATGATTGATAGAATGTGTTGGTGAATTTGTATGAAACATAAACAGAAGGAATTCCATCAATAGGGGAAATCAGTACCTTAGCGCTTTCTCATTATTGTTTACAGCTTAGCATCTTTAATTTGCAGTTATTAGTTACTGTTAATCTTAGTTATTAAAAACACCATCAACTCTGATTCTCAACGTTTGGGAAATTGATTCTAAAGAGTTTAGTACGTCTAAAGATAGTGATTGATAGGTTAATTCTCTGTGGGTTCGACTCTGGGCACAATACTCAGGTTATATTTGTAACGTCCGCATTGTCCTTTTTATAAGGCATAGTTGGGCGTGATCAGTCAATATACAAAATTTGAGGAAGATTGGAGGTGATTTGGAGTGGTATTGTATCAAAATTCATAAGTAAATCGAGTTCAGAAAAGTCTTCTGCGACACATGTATCAAACATGTATCACGCATGTATCTCACACACAGGTATACATGGATATACATGTGATACACAATTGATACAAATATGATACATATGTGATACACAAATGATACACTGTGTGATACACATATCATTTTTTTCATGTTCGGCTTTTACTTCGAATTTTCAATTCAAACCACCTCAAAATTCACCAAATCATCCCAAAACTGAGATTCAAGCTCCTTAAGTTGTGCCCAATCTATTCTAATAACACCCACTCAAAACAAAGCAAAAATTTGATATTTTTTTGCTACAAATAGCTAATTGGCTAATTTGGCTAATATTAGTAATATTTTATCAATTGGCCAATTTTTGTAATGAGCTACCTATAAATGGACATAGCTGGTAATTTCCCAACATTATGTCGATTTTTTCATGTGTTTATATGCTTGATGATTTTCCCGAATTTGGTTGACGGACTCCGATTGACCTAAAAATTGATAGATCTATCGGATATGGACTTGTGAGCAACACTCATCATGACTAATATCATTTTTTTTATTTCGAGGTCATAAAACAAGAATTAATGATAATGTCCGGTTTTCGTATGCGTACTAGGTGTGAGATCTAGGGATCTAATTGCATATATTTCAAATGGAGAAAGTAGCTTGTGGCAGTTGAAGACAAGACCATTATTTTAAGAGTTGATTAAATTCATTATATCTCTTCCCAAATACCTTTTTTTTTTCTTTTTTGGTTTCTGCTTAGTTAATGACTTAAATCTGTATGCTGACTGAACCTTTAATACTTTTTCTTTTAATCCAAAACATGAACCTTTAATACTTGTCCGCAAGAATAGATCAGAAGAGGCGTTCCTGCTAAGGAAATTTTAATTAGAAAGCTATTGTTTTAACATCACATTTTAAAGACAGACAAGCAGTAAAGTATTCTGAAACTTATACAGTTAAACTATGGTGCCACAAAAAAAAACTAAAATCAGAAATAATTGTTGAAATCCATATAGGTGGAGTAAATTTATAGTAGGTTTTCACCAGTATAGTGTTCTATCTAGTTAAGTTGTATATGCTCATGTTCTTAAACAATGGAAGGGAGGTCAATAAACACCTAAACATCACGCCTTATTCTTTACTAAGCGCTATAATTTTAACTTACTGATCCAAAATACATTTGAGTAGAGTTGCACTGAATAGAGCATGATCATACAAAGAGACCAAACCTATACAAACAGGTAAACCTAGATGTATTAACTTGCATAAGTTGTAATGTGAGCCAATGGAGAGCTAGCATCAATGGAGAAGACTACCATCAATGGAGAAGACTACCTGATCGAATCCCCTTTAGAGAAAAAGGGCAGCCCGGTGCACTAAGCTCTCGCTATGAGCGGGGTCCAGGGAAGGGCCGGACCACAAGGGTATCGAATCCCCTTTAGAGAATGACTCAAAAACTTACTGAGACCAAAATTGTCAAGGATGCACATGAAGACAAATAGGAAAATTATCATTGCCGGTAATAGCCACTCTGATGGGGAGGAGGATGATATGGAGAAGGGACGGTATAAGGAGGTCGAGGCATAGAACCCGGTTGCTGAGGAGGTGCAGGTTGCTGTGGAGGTACATTATAGTAGGGACCCCGCCATCCAGGATACGCAGGTTGGCCATAATCATGGCTCGGTGGTGGTTGTTGTTGATGTTGAGGCGGTGGATATGGGGGACCGGAAGCTTGCAAATGGTAAGGCGGTGTAGGCTGCTGAGGAGGACCATAAGGTGGAGGATTTTGAGTATAACCAGGCATCGTGGGCTGCTGTGGGTTACCAGCCATTGCGGGCTGCTGAGGGGGGTGGTAAGTAGGAGTCTGGGGTCGAACAGCGTTGGGCATATTCGCAGGGTCTGTTGGCGGTTGGGGATTGGATCTTGGCACCTGATGGGACTGAGGAACAGAAGTATAATTATAGCCATTTGAACCTTTATTGTCCTGGAAACTGAGACCTGAAATTTGTCTCTGAACCTCATCCATCATTTCTCGACACTGTATGTTTCTTGTCATCACAAAATCACTGCACTGTTGCTTTACATTTGTGATCGCATCCTGTTTAACCCGTGAAAAATAGAATGTCAGTTCCTCATCCTCCGTTGAAGGAGCAAATAGATATCATATTTGAAATGAGATTAGCTCGGGGACAATAGAGATAAGATATTGAGCAAGACCTGCCTAAGTCGGCAGTCACAGTGAGTATTCAAACCAACTAAAATGAAAATCAATTATGTAAAAGAAATTCTAAGCTAAACGCACATTCCCTTTCCATCCTGATTCCAGACCAACTTAGTGCTTTCGTTTGGTTTTTGTGCTTTAGCTTTCTAATCCCAATATAATCCTTATCCTCCTTCATTTGTTTCTAGCATACAATACTCCTATATATTTGGAAAGTAGTATTATATTCCTAACAAGTTCGATTGCTACCTATGTTCCTTACACACGTACTAGGGTAAGAATTAGTTTCTATAATTGAGTGATGAAATTAGTTAGGAAGCACAAAAGACCAGGACTCTGTATACTAAAAATTCAATAACAAAAACTTGTACAATCAAATGTAATTCATAAATAAATCAAGGCATATGTGTAAATTATTATTTAGTTGTTAAATTTGAATTCTTGAAACTTTAAGAATCGGCTAAGCTGTTAACCGAAAGATAAGATAATGTAGAAAACAACAAGAGTATCATATCTTCTTTTTTGGTCTTACTGTAGTAGTTTCTCTTTACCTTAGATGATTAAGCAGGTATATTTAGGAGTATAAAGAAAAGTCACAAGCAAACAGAACATGAACCAAAGTGAAAAAAATACATTAAGCTTGGTGGTTAATGGTTATAATTAGCTCTCATAATGTAACTATAGTTTTAAACCCTCAGGGGTTGGCCTGGTGGCAATTGACTTGAGCCTTGGGGTTTGCTTCCTTTCAAGGTCTCAAGTTCGAAACCCACTGGGTGCAAACAATTTCTGAGGGTCATCGGACTGGGTAAAACCTGAATTAACCGTGGTGCACTTGCGGGAAACTCCTTGCCGAGGGCCTGTGTACCCCCGGGATTAGTCGGGGCTCTAAGAGACTCGGACACCCGGTGCAAATCAAAAAAAAAAAAAAAATGTAACTATAGTTTAAAGTGGGAATAATACTTTTCAAAAATAAAAAACATAAATTCATTGAAAATAGTTTGAATAGGTGCTACCAATAATATTTAAAAGGTAGAGAGGAACATTAGATATCGCGAAAAGAAGGCCCATTTGTTTAAAAGAAGAGAGTGTTACAAATTCCTCGCTAGCATTTTAAAAGTCAAGAATAACTTCTTTGTTTTTTTGATAGGTTAAAAAAGTCAAGAATAACTTTACGGAGTGATTATATTACCATGTGGAAAGCCACTTCAACATAAACTGAGATGAAAAGAAGTGACACAACTAAGAAGTGAAACAAAAAGTAAGATAGCTTAAATATAGTTGGTAGCACACAAAAAATGAGGTCTCAATGAAACGAAACCACAGAAGAATTCACTCAATAAGTTCCTTTTTCGACTTTCTTACAACTTTCTGTGAGCACGTGATTTTTTGCCTATATGAATTATTCCCATAGTTTCAAAACAAAATAATTTCTTTTAGTATTTACAATTTTGTGAATTTTTATGGCATTTCATGTTAATTGTTTGCATTTTTGTCTGTGCATTTTTATTAATGAAAATTACAAAAAATATACTTGGCATGTGCATTTAGGGTTTAATTTTACATTTTAGGATTAATCAGAAAACTAATTGTTTCATAAAATGGAGAAATCAAAAAAGTAGTTTAATTTGCACTTTTAATTCTAGCTTTGTTTTTGAGTAGTTTTTGTGTTAATTTGTTTTTTATTTTTTATTTTTTTATTTTTTGGTTAATTAAGTGCTAGAAATTAATTTTGATTTTTATCTAATTAGAAAATGAATAATAAAAAAAGGAAGAAAAGAAGAGAAAAACAAATGAAAAGAATTAAGAAAAGGCTGGTCTTAATAGAGACCCAGTCTTGAGCAAAAAATCAAGCCCAAAATCCTCAATTCACCCGCTCCAGCCCAAGCCCCATCTCAACCCGGCCTGCCCCACCCATAATCAAAACGACAACGTTTCGTCTCAAAGCAATCCCAGCCGTCGAGGATCTTTGATCCAACGGCTGGGAAGTGGGATGTTTTTAATATAAAACTGTCCAAATCTCACTCCACCACCCCCCAATTCACCGTCTCAGACCACCCCCATATACACCACCGCATTTCCATCGCCCTCCGTCGTCCGCCGCCGGCCGGAAATCGCCTCCGCCGGCGGTGATTCTCCGATGAACCCCAAATTCACACCACACCCTCTCATTCGTCTCCTCAGTCCATATCTGGACCTGTTTTCTTCCAAACATCACCCCAAATATCTCAAATATTTAAAACCCTAGGTGCCGCCGCCGCCGTGCACGGCGGCGCCATCACCCAAACCCCACCAAAATCACACCCCACAACCGTCTCACCCCCCTCCACCTAAATCCCAAACTATTTTTCCCCAGGTCCAACCGCAACTCCTCGAATTTTAGATCTAGGGTTCCGTTCAAGAGTGTTTGAATTTCCAGTGGTAGCCAGTGTTCGAAAAGGTCTTGAAATGATGCTATGTGTTTGTTCTTGGCAAGAACAAACACATAACATTACTTGAAGACCGGATTCGAATTCAATCGATTAGAGGGCCAAATCAGTAAGTTTTTCTTCCTGGTTTTATTTTTTCTTCTATTCTCATGAGTTTTTGATTTTGGTTAGTTTAATTTTTTTTTTGTTTTGATTTTGTTTATGGTTAATCATGTTTCGATTTTTTGCTTTGATTTTGTTAGTTTAATTTTGCTCTGGTTTGTTTTGTTTTGATCCTGCTCGGGGTATGCATTTGCTAGTTTGTTTTAGGATTGATTTAGGGTTTTAATTTGATTTTGTTTATGTTCATACTAAGTCAGTTTAAGTTTATGATTTAGTGTTGTTGATTAATCTTTACTTGTTCTCTTAAATTCATGTTTGATAATTGCCAATAGTTTGTTAATTTGGACTGTTATTAATTAATTCAGGATTTAAAAAAAAAAAAGAAGGGATTGGTTCAATTGAATATTGTTTGATTATTGCTGAATACTCCAGGGCCTTTGGTATTAACCATGGTCATTTTGACCAAGCTAAAAGGGGCTGGGGTTGGTTTAGCCTAGGTTAGTAATTCAGGGGAGAAATCAGGGGTAGTATAGGCATCTCACAATAAAAGAATCTTGCAGTAACTGAATTGGAACCCCCTAGAACCTTCTAGATTGGGGTTTTAATTTGAAATTCAGTAACTTGGTAGTATAACTTGACCAACAAGTCATAAAATGAGGGGTTTAAGTAGCTAAAAACAGAAAAAACAAAAGGACGCAAGGCTAAAAACCTAAAGTCTGAAGCTGCCCTAGTAACTTGCCTATAAAGGCATTGTTACTTAGAGCTGAAGAGAGGATTTTTGGGCATTAAAAAATCCTGAAAACTCCAGGCGGCCAAACCTCAAAAGAAATACTGTTCCATTGCCTTTGCTTTGATTCCTGAAGGTTTCTTTACATCTGAAGCAATTTTTGTTCACTTAAGGTTAACAATGGATTGAATATTAGCTCTAAGGTTTGATTTAGAGGGGTTGGGTTTGCATTGGATTGAAATCGCTTTGGTTAAACTGGTGGAGCACTGTTTTGGGTTTTATTTCTTAAGAAACTGGTTGTTTGTGGGTATTGTGTGAGTGAGATTGCCCTCTTTTGGATTTTGGCACTCGTTTTGGCTAAGCTGTGTTGCTGCTGGGTTTGATTGCTGCTTTGTTCTGCTGATCCTCATTCCTTTCCCTTGTTTCAATCTCCAGGTACTCCTTGGTTCTCTAGGAAGTGATATGCAAGCATGCAAGTTGTACTTGTTTGATATTTTCTATGAAAGGATGAGCTGCTTTCCCTCATGTTTGCAGTGTCAAATCCCTGCTTAAAATTCCTAAAGATTAGTAGTTTATTATAATAGTGTTTAGATTAGCCTACTCATCTTAGTATAATAGTAATTTTTTAGAATTCATGCTATTCTTCAACTTGTTGAAAACTGATGGATTATCAACCTTGTGTAAACATTAAAGGACTGTACATTCGGACTCTTATTTAGCAATGTGCAGTTTAGATATGTGTGATTTTGTGATTTAAAATTTCGGTAGTTTAGTTCTAATTTCAATCTAATCGATGCGTTAAATTCTGTAAAAATTGATTTGGTAATTGAACATTTTTACTCTTGCAATTTGCTCGTTTTTCTGTTGTAAAAAAAAAAAGGTGAAATTAAAGGGTTGGCCTATGAGTTGAGCAGCAAGTTTGAGCTAAGGATCTTGTCCTCACTGGAAGTGATCCTTGTTCAAATTTGGGCTTATTCTTAGGCCCAGGCATTTTCTAAATGAATTGGATGGAGTTTTTGGGTCTATTTTGTATAAAAATGTTCAAATCAGAAGTCCAGATATCTCACTTTCATGTTCATGGGTTGGCGTCAATTTGCATTTATATATCTATTATAATATCTATTATAATTTGATCTAAATCATTTGGATTACAAGAACTAGGCCCGACGTTGGCCCAATCGCACGAACAAGCCCGGTTGTTATTCACACTTTTGTTGGCCCACCGGATGATTGATGCTGTTTGGATTTCGCTGGTTCTGGGCCTTCGTTCCTTATTTGGGCTTCACGTTCCCCCTTTGTATTTCTCCATGTACTGATTCATAGGGTTTAACATATCTGGTTTATTTAGACGGAATTTCAGTCCCTATAAGGCTTTGGTCATTTAGCTAAGTCTCTTTAATTGATTATGGGATTGGCCCAAATAGATAATAATAATAGTTCATGGCCTTCTCGATTTTTAATTAGGACATCCTTTAAAAGTAGAATGGAGGTGCGCCGCGCCAACAAAAATTCATAAATTGCGCGGCCCTCTTTAATTATATTTTGAAAATGTTTAGAACTTGAGGTGCGTCATTTAGCGAATTTTCATGGCCTCCCGCAAAGTTAATAAGACGCTAGCCCCTTTAGGCGCGCTTTTTAATAATTTTACCTTCTTAAATACGGGTGTGCATTTCATGCGACCCAAATTCAAATCCCAAAACGTTGAATAAGAGGTGCCGAGGATCCGGGTGCATTTCATGTGACGTGATCCAACAACACGCTCTTAAACGGCGTTCACTTTCATAAAAACTAATTAAAAGCGGTTAAACAATTTTAAAATTGCACTATAGGATGACATGTATAAAAATCAGACTTTAGCCAAATATAGCAGTTGAGCGACCGTGCTAGAACCACGGAACTCGGGAGTGCCTAACCCCTTCTTCCGGGTTAACAGAATTCCTTACCCGGATTTCTGGTTCGCGACTGTTAATACAGAGTCAAACCCTTTCCTCGATTCGGGGTCAAACCGGTGACTTGGGACACCATAAATCTCCCAAGTGGCGACTCTGAACTTCTTAATAAACGAATCCCGTTTCGAGTATCCTTTAATTGGAAAAACTCCTCTATTATATCCTTCACGAGGTGTAGTAAGCGAAAAGGAGGTGTGACACTTTCAAATAATTATCATATGCAGATATACACACCGGAGAATTATAAATTCTCATGTCATATTTGATAAACTAGATCAGACCTTTCTATTTAAAATTAACATGTAATAGAAAATGAAACTTAACCCTAAAAAGAGAGAAAACAACTCAACAACAGGTTAATTCAGAAAATATGTTTTTTCAATAATAGAATACGATATAATAAACACTTCTATTTTCATTTAGAAATAATATGCAAATGGTCAACTTTTCTTTTTTAATTAATACAAGCTAGTAAACTGATAATTAGGTGCAACTGAACTTCATGCCCTATCCTACTTCAGATAACATTTAAAAGAGGTTACCCATTGAATGGTCTTTAGCAGTATTGGAAAACCATCAAAGATTTGAGCACATTCATTAGGCTTACAAGCTTAAGATTTAATTGGAAAGAGGAATATAATCATGAATAAAATCCATCAAAGTAGGCTAGCCAACCCCCCCCCCCCCTACAAACGTTCCCTAACAGATGACGAATACTCATACCGTGAAGTGTAACATACGAACTTCAACTCCCTCATTGATACTTCTTCCTTTATTTCGTCGGTTA